CTTTTTAAAAAATTATTGTTTGAAAACAGGCGTGCTCTGGCAGGTGTGGGTCAGTGGTTAGAGTGTTGACCAGCGCACCAAAGGGTCTTGGGTTCAATTCTCGGTCAAGGGCATCTATGTGTGTTGCAGGTCTGATCCCCGAGGCAACCAATTTCTCTCTCTACAAGGCTGCCACAGTGGCCCTGGCTGTGGCTGCCACTGCTGCCCAGCGGCTGAATGAAGTCAGCAGGCAGCCTGGTGTGTGAAGAAATGCCCAGGCCCATGGAGGCATTAGGACCCCAGGGTAACTGGCCCAGAAGCCCCCACTGCCAGGGTAGTTGGGTTGGCTCTACATACCCTGCTGGATGTAGGGCTTCTCAGGACCAGCCTTGGCTGAGAACTGCTGTTGCTGCCCAGAAAACTGGAGGAATTGAGGCCAGGGTTGCTGGTGGTCATGCCCGAGGCCATGGAGTTGCTGCCTGGATTCATAGGGTTGTTGGCATTGGCTATAGATTCCCAAGGACCTGGCTCTGGCACATATTGGTCACTTCCCAAACTGTGGTGACCATGGAGAGGAGAGGGAGCTGGGAGGCTGGTTGGTGTTCTGTTGGCAAAGGTGAGGGTCAGAGGGGAATGGCCCATCAATGTACCACAGAGTGGGTTCCATGGAGCTCATGGAGTTTCCCAGGGGACGGGGTTGCTCTGGCATCTCTTCTGATGTTGGAGCAGCAGCAGGAGGCCCAGCTCCTCGAACCAGGAGGACAGCAGTGGACGTTAACATCAGCCTTGGACCTGCACTGGCGCACTCATTGAGCAACTCCAGGCTGGGTTCAACTGAAGATGACCCTCATTATGGGGAGCCAGCTGGTAAGAGGGCACACACTGACAATGGCTCCTTGCTCCCTCTGTGAGCACTGATTCCAAATGACCCTCCGGTTGTCACCCCCAGGTTCTTCTGGGTTTTTCTATTAATCCTTACCCAAGAATATTTTTTCCATTGATTTTTTGTAGAGAGTGGAAGGGAGGGAGGAGGAGAGAGACAGAGCCAGAGAGACAGAGAAACATTGAGAGATACCTGGGATCCAGCACGCAGATACTGGGCATGGCTGGTATCTCTGCTGGCAGTGACTTGGCCACCCTCTCCCCTGCAGCTGCCTGCTCTGAGGGCACTCTGGCTCCCGTTCTCCTGCTTGCTGTTGCCCATTTAGCGCCATCCATCCTGCTACAGCACCACCACTTTTCTTCAAACCTGCCCAAAGTTGCTTTTTAGGTTTAGAGGGCTGACAATTAAAGAAACACTAAATAATAGTATCTATGAGACTGTCCATCAGTACTTTATTGATAGCAGGTTTGTCATACTAGTGTATCAAAAATACATTTTAAAGAGTAAAGAAAAAAATACTCTTGTTCATTTCTTATTCTTTTTAATGTTTTTCTTTTTTTAGAGAGAGAGGAAGGGAGAGGGAGAGATAAAAACATCTATTGGGCCCTGGCCAGTTTGGCTCAGCGGTTAGAGCGTCGACCTGCGGTTCAGAGAGACCTGGGTTCGGTTCCCGCTAAGGGCACGTACCTCGGTTGCGGTTTGTCCCTGGCCCTGGTTGGTCGTGCGGGTGGCGGCTACTCGATGTGTTCCTTTCACGTCGATGTTTCTCTCTCTCTCTCTCTGTTCCTCTCTCCCTCCCATTCTACCTGAACAAAAAGTAGAGAAATGTCGAGTGAGGATAAAAAACAAAAACATCTATTGGCTGCCTCCTGCATGCCCCACACTGGGGATTGAGCCCACAACTTGGGCATGTGCCCTGACTGGGAATTGAACTGGTGACCTCTTGGTCCATGGTTCAGTGCTGAACCACTGAGCCACACTTGCTGGGCTCTTATTCATTTCTTAAATTTCTTATCCCTTAATGTCCATGTTAATAAATTGTTTTTTCTTTTTCTTTTTTTGCATTTATCTTCAGATAGAGCGGAAAGGAGAGAGGGGGGAAGAGAGAGAAACATCAATGTGAGACACATCGACTGGTTGCCACCCACATGACCCCAACTGGGGCAGGGACAAACTGCAACCGAGGCATGTGCTCCCAGCGGGAACCGAACCTGGGACACTCTCCAGTCTGCAGGCCGATGTTCTAACCGCTGAGCCAAACCGGCCAGGGCTTAAATGGTTTTTTCTTTATTGATTTTAGAGAGAGAGGAAGGGAGAGGGAGAGATAGAAACATCGATGAGAGAGAACATTGATTGGCCGCCTCCTGCATGCCCCGCACTGGGGATTGAGCTACAACCTGGGCATGTGCCCTGACGGGAATCAAACTATGACCTCTTGGTGCATGGGTCAACGCTCAACCGGCCGGGCGATGTTAATAAATCTTATAGTTCATGTGAAACATAACAACATGTGAGTTATACAATGTACACTATTCTGAAGGGCAAAACAAATAATAAAGGACAGCCCTGGCCGGTTTGGCTCAGCGGTTAGAGCGTTGGCCTGCGGTCCTGAGAGACCCGGGTTCGGTTCCCACTAAGGGCACGTACCTCGGTTGCAGTTTGTCCCCAGCCCTGGTCGGTCGTGCGGGTGGCAGCCACTCGATGTGTTCCTTTCACAGCGATGTTTCTCTCTCTCTCTCTGTTCCTCTCTCTCCCTCCCACTCTACCTGAACAAAAACAACAACAACAAAAAAAACCCCAAATAATAAAGGACATAACAATTTGGGAAATGCCACTCAAGCTTATTTCTGTTTTACTGAATTGGATGCAAGTACATAAGTCTGGAAGGAAGCCTCTTAACTTGTTACACTGTAGATTAATTCTTTAAAAAAATTTTTTTCTTTGTTGATTTTTAGAGAGAGGGAGAGACAGAAACATAAATGAGAGAAAACATCTATTGGCTGCCTCCTGCATGCCCCTACTGGGGACTGGGCTCACAACCTGAGCATGTGCCCTGACCAGGAATCAACAGGTGACCTCCGGGTACATGGGTCGACGCTCAACCACTGAGCCACACTGGCCAGGCTACATTAATCATTTTCAATTAAAGGTTAGATGGAAGCTCCTCAATTGCACAATTAAGTGGATTTTGAAATATGAAAATTTCCATTGCACTTGACATCAAGGTCTGAAAATGCTGTTGGAACTGTAGTTTGAGCTCAGAAAATACACGTGCTGCATATTTGTGTGGGAATGGAGATCTTGCTTTTGTTTTTTTTTAATCCTCACAGGAGGATATTTTCCCATTTTTATATTCAGATGGGGAGGGGGGAAGAGAGAGAAACATTGACATGAGAGAGACACATCGACTGGTTGCCTCCCACACGACCCTGACCAAAGCCAAGGACTAACCACAACGGAGGTACGTGCCCTTGACCAGAATCAAACCCAAGAGTCTTGGGTGCACAGGCTGATGCTCTAACCACTTAGCCAAACCAGCCAGGGCGTTTGTTTTAACTTTTGACAGCACAGGAAGTGCATAAAGTAGTTTAACATTACTTGTGCTTCAAAACATCAGGTATTGTCAAAATGACTTTGCTGCAGTATATGTTTCACATATAAGCACTATTTTGCCATGTAATTTTAGGTTGAATTAATTAAGAAACATCAATGCTGTAGCAAAAGCTAATTTCCAAGGCTATTTTTCAGTAATAATGGTTTAGAATAGTTCTCTGTTCTGAAAAATATCCGTCTTGGCTCTGAGCTGAAAAAAATGCAGTAAAACTGTACCCTTGCTAAGTCATCAAAATGCTGTGTGGTAGGGCAAGTCAGGATATTCAGCTTCTATTTGTGATAAAAATTCCTATCACGTGTTGATTAAATATGAGAGCAAATGACATTCACTGTTGACAATTCTAGTTCAATAACACGATAGATTCAAATACTTCCTGTAAATTAGCTCTTGATGAGTCATTTGTGACAATGAATAACCATAGGCACTAAATGCCTTACATTTTCTCGGGCTTTATAAATTTGCCCAACTAAGCCTTTTTCTGCGCCACAAATTTTACCTCTATCAACTGTAACACATCCTAGCAGATTTCCCTTCAGGTTGTTTCTAATTAGTGTTTTCTCAACTTTTTGAGAAGCCTGGAAAAATCTTTCCCTCACCACCCAATTGGTTGGTTCCTCAGAAGGAACCAATCCTGCCCAACACCTTGATTTGGGACTTCTAACCTCCTAAAATATGAGAGTAAATTCCTGTTGCTTATGCCACTGAGTTTGTGGTACTTGGTTATGAAGCCTTAGCAAACTAAAAGTTTCCACATTCTTCTATAATACTTTTCTGAGAAAGGTCTCTTCTCTGGTCTGTGCTGACCTTTCCCCTCCTGTGGTATTTCTCCTCTCTCTTCTCTCACCTGCTTTCTCCTTAGCCTTTACGTGAGGTCCAGTCTCTCCCTTGATGGCATCATCCATCCCCTTTCTAGTTTATCACATCTTTCTCCTTCACAGCAAAGTTTAAGACAGTAATTTCAGCCCTGGCTAGTTTGGCTCAGCAGTTAGAGTGTCCAGAGAGACCCGGGTTCGGTTCCCGCTAAGGGCACGTACCTCAGTTGCAGTTTGAACCTGGCCCTGGTTGGGTCCTGCGGGAGGCAGCCACTTGATGTGTCCCTTTCATGTCGATGGATGTTTTTCTCTCTCTTCCTCCCACTCTATCTGGACAAAAAAAGGGAAGATGTCCTCAGGTGAGGATAAAAAATAAAATAAAAATCAAAAGTATTTTGTGATGTAAAAATTATATGAAATTAAAAATTTTAAATCAAAAGTTTTATTGGAACACAGCCACTTGTTATATCATCTTTGGTTGGTTTTGTGCTACAATTATGGAGTTGAGCAGTTGCAACAGACAGGTCTGTGAATCTAAACGTTTACTTTCTGGCCCTTTACAGTTTGCTGGGCCCAGACAGATTGAAGATGAGGGTTTCAAGAAGGAAGCTTGTTCACAGGCCAAATGTGGTAGGGAAGGCCATATGTAGGACAACTCAAGGAAGATTCCCCTCCACCAACTCTTTGAAAATGACTATGTAGGAGACAGAAGTTGATTAAAAAACATCCTATTTTATTTTATGGAATATGATCATTAAGTTGAAGGCATGGGGCATAAAAGCTGTCCTGATACAGACTCTGAACAAAAAGCCCACCTTCCCATGAGCACTTTTAATGACTAGATCATGATTCTTACATAGGACATTTCATCCATCAGAGCTGAAGATGTTCAACAACATTGCTAACTTGAAAAATTTAGCAGCAAAGGCCTATATAGGCAAAGTATAGGATTTTTACTAAATTGATGTAGTGTACACTTAAAATTACATATTCATAAAAAGAAGTTAAGATAAATTAAAATGCACTTCTGTATTTCTTTTCTTGCCACCTGAGTTAAATTCAGGTCTCTTTTCTTACTGAATGCAAAAAAGACAACCCCACTGCTAAGTTACAAATCACTAGATGTTAAAAATAGTTTCCTCTGGAGGAGAATGCACTTATTTTTACGTTAGTAGCACACTTAACATATAACCAACCTAAAGTTAGAAAAGTTACTTTTTTGAAGGCACAGTTTGTTTCCAGCTTGACTGTGGACGTAAAAATCTGTCTTATGGGCCCCATCTGGCAAGAAGGACAAGTTCACTGGTCTTGTCTGTCATACCAAAGCCCACCCCACACCCAACCCCAGCCTGGGCACCTCTGAATGTCTCTAGAGGGTAGAATGTTTTCTTTTTGATCATCACCATCAGTACAAAGATTCTAGAGGCTCCTCCGGTCTCCCTTTGTTCTCTGAAAATGCAAACAGCTTTGCTTTATAAAATAGAATCAGCAACAGGTCTTTTGTGGGCATGGAAGCAGGGGTGAAGGAAGACCCAGCAGAAAGAAGCTGCTGGCCAGCACAGACAGTCCCTCCGCAGAGGCCTTAGAATTAGGGGATCTGAACAAAAACAAAAGATAAGAGGCTTTCTAACGTGTCAGAGGAAGACAAACTTCTATAAAAGTGAGGACAACTCTCCTTCCACATGCTTGCGTTAAAAAAAAAAATGGGGTGAGGTGATTGGCTTCATCAATCCAAAACAGGGAGGGCATATATAAGATAAGGTGCTACTTTGCTTCAAGTCAGTCAAATCGCTAATTCCATTAGGCAGATGGAAGGTTGCAGAAGAGAATGTTTGGCAGTGGGTGGCATTTAAAAAAAAAAAAAAAAAGCTAAGGTCTGAGGTATAATGACTGATCTCCATGAGTCTATGCCTCATGATAATAAGCAGAAACAATTACTACACTGAGGAAAGTGTTAATAAGGAAAAAAACAGAAACAATTATAATAAGTGGAAATGTATATACTGGCTGCTCTGTACTCTGGTTTCATGCTTTTTTGGCAGCCTTTTTACTGAAAACCCTGTGAACTTGGTTAGTTTGGGCCAGATACATGTTTAAAATTTTTCCTTTTACCAGTTATGAAGAGAATAATCATAATGAGCTCATCTGATAATCAAATATCTAAATTACTTTTAATTGCATCCTCATGTCCTGGGCTATTCATTATGACATGGTCAGGCTCCCTGAGGTGGCTGCAACTTGACAGAAAGTATCTACTGATGGAGGCTGTCAGTATTCTTAGGAAGGTCATGCATTATGGGATGGACCTTTAACAAATGAATTGTTAAATAAATACTGAGGCAGTGCTGCAGCACTTTATAGAAGTTTCCTTTAACGAACTGTTTTAGGCTACAGAATGGAAGTGGTGAAGCTCATTTAGCCATTGCCATGTTTCAAGGTGAAAGGTAGTTATTTTAAAGTTTCTGACCTAAATTGTCTAATTAAAATCATTTCCTCTGACCACTTTCACCATCTTCAAAATATTTAAAATTATTTTTTTAGAAGCAAGGATCTTGTGGCTTCAATTAGTTTGTTGGAGGTACCAACACACACACACACAAAACCATTTAATTATAGAGATCAATTGTAATTAATGCTTGTGATTCTGTTTGTAACAGGAAAGAACAAGCTAAGCCAGTTAAAAATGATAATGGCTGGGTTTTCTCTTTTAGCCAAATCCTTCTGTACAAAGACAGCATCATTTGTAGAGTTCCAGTCCTGAAACTGGGTGGCAGAGAACCAAGCACTGAGTTAAGCCACCTTGTAAGTCATGCAAGGAGAGTAAGTGGGAACCCTGGCAGGTTAGGAGACCCAGGTAGTGAGTGAACACTGCCATACCCTGGGTCAGGGAGAGTCTGAGAGGAATGGAAGGCTCAGTATAGGAAGACTACTGGTTGGCCATGTCTGTGTGATGTTCCATTCCCACCAACTCCATAGGGCCCCTAGGTGGTCAGTAGGCTCAGTGTTGAAGCAGGGGAGAATTTGCTCCTAATCAGGAACAGAGAGTCAGATATGAGGGTACACAGGGAAGAAGGGCTTACTGAATTTCCTACATATTTCCAGGCATCACAGTGAGCACAAGTGGTCTGAACCCCTATTAAAATGCACGTCAAGGATGGAGGCCAGGAGAGGAAGAGGTAACGTCAACAAAACAGCCAAGAATGCTGACATACTCCATTTCTGAACCTCACACTGATCCTTTTCCAGGAGGTTAAGAGAATTACGATGTGCTCAGTGTGTGTGCGTTTCATGTGTGTATGTGTTTGTATGGTGTGGGGGAGGGATGATGATGACTGCTAAATAAAGGTATGGGAAGGAAGGACCCTCCTGCACAAACAACTGGCTCACAGGGTCCCTTAGCACTCTGACTCACAGTAAGGCCTAGGAATGAGCTATACAACAAACAGGGATTGAAATTCTGCCCAGTCTTTCGATAATGCTCATTAAAGTGAGAAATGCAACTTTTTCTTCTCATTCCAGCATAGTAATAATCAAAGGCCCAAGATATTTGAGGCAAGGAAATTGTGCTCAGACTAAAACTCTAAGCATTCAGTTCAAAGAAGTGAGCGAGGTATTGGCTCTCAGAAAAAGTGGGACAGACACTTCCTCGTAACAAAATCTCTTAAGACCCACACTATTAGAACATTTGCAAACACATGTTAAATCACATACTAAAATAATAAATGAAATTTCTTGAGAGTTTAAAAGATCTTTCAAATCTTTTCATCATAATGGAGTGGAAATCCTTCACTGTCTTTAAAGTTGTCGAACTTTTTTTTCTGTGCTTTTTATATTGACATCTAACTTGTCCACTTTGGTTGTGAGGCGGTCAATAATGTCATCTTGCTCCTCAATTTCCGTCTGCATCCCCAGGGCTATGTCCTTCAGCCGGCCCAGTCCCATGGACAGCTCATCTGTGGGGGAGGGAAAGGACATGCAGGTCTAAGCAAACAGTGACAGCATCAGGAACTGCTTCTTGTCCCTCCCAGGTGTTCAGTGACATTTAGATTACAAAGTCCTCTTCCTCACTTAACAGACTAACCTCTGGGGATTCTACATTTTCCAAAATATGTGCAAGTGAAAAGAAAACTTGTTTACTCAATAATAAGTAGTATGGCCTGGCTGGTGTGGCTCCATGGCTGAACATCGACCCATGCACCAAGAGGTCGCCGGTTCGATTCCCAGTCAGGGCACATGCCTAGATTGTGGGCCAAATCCCCAACAGGGGACATGCAAGAGGCAGCCAATCGATGTTCTCTCTCATCAATGTTTCTCTCTCTCTCCCTCTCCCGTCCTCTCACTCCAAAATCAATAAAGAAAAATAAAATAATTAATATGTTCTTAATATAAAATCCACTCTTCCCCATACCAACCACCCAAAATAATCACTCTTAATATAAATTATGTTTGTCCTTCCAGTGTTTTATTTTTTTATTTTATTATTTCTTCTTTTCTTTTTTTATCCTCACCTGAGGACATTTTTCCATTTTTTGTTCAGGTAGAGTGGGAGGGAGAAAGAGGAAGAGAGAGAGAGAGAGAGAGAGAGAGAGAGAGAGACAGAAACATTGACGTGAAAGGGACACATCGAGTGGCTGCCACCTGCACGACCAACCAGGGTGGGGACAAACTGCAACCAAGGTACGCGCCCTTAACGGGAACCGAACCCAAGTCTCTCGGGACCGCAGGCCGACGCTCTAACCGCTGAGCCAAACCGACCAGGGCTATTTTTTATTTTCTTAGGTACGTGCCCCTAGTGGGAACCAAACCAAAGACTCTCTGGTCCGCAGGCTGATGATCCAACCACTGAGCCAAACTGGCCAGGGCTGTCCTTCCAGTGTTTTATAAAGTGCATATAGATCTATGTAATTTTTCAGTAATTTTCGAGTAAATTGGTGTGAATTGCAAGATCAGTTAGTATTCATGAAAAAGAGCACAGAGCCCTGGCCAGTTTGGCTCAGTGGCTAGAGTGTTGGCCTGCAGACCAAAGACTCTCAGGTTTGATTCTGGTCAAGGGCACTTACCTTGGTTGCAGGTTCAATCCCTGGCCCTGGTTGGGGTCGTGCAGGAGGCAACCAGTCAATGTGTCTCTCTCACACTGATGTCTCTATCTCTCCCTCTCTCTCTCCCTCCCTCCCTCCCATTCTACCTGAAGATAAATGGAAAAATATCCTTGGGTGAGGATTAAAAAAAAGAGAGAAAGAAAGAAAAAGAGCACAGAGGGGTCTAAAAACAAGTTCCCTTCCTAGATCCCATGGTATCCGGGAAAAGTACACTGGTTATTAACAGCCAAATCTACTGACTTGCTCTTCAAGAACAAAACACCTATGTCACTGGGTAGTGCCTGCTTTCCTTCCTTCCTTTCATCTCTAGCTCCCTAAAGCTAGATCAAACACAGAGTGAAAAATATGAGGATCCCTGTTTGGAAACATGTCTGAGATAGACCTGGGAAGCCCTGTCCAAGATCCACCAGGCTCTCCCTTACAGAAGGCTGCACCCAGCTGGTCCACTCTGCAAGTGGCAGGAGAGAGTGTGTGTATGGGGGTCTGTCTCTGCCCTGCTACCTGGGATGCTCTGGCAGAAAACACATGAACTACAGATGTTCCTACTGGACGCAAATTCTGTGAGGTTCCTTTACCAAACTATGCTATGAAAATTCGCATTTCCCACATTTAGTCACTCATTGCTACCATTTCCCGGATCCATGAGCACATTTGCTGTGAATGTTCTGGGGTACAACAGTTAGCTTGCATTTCCCAGATCTGGCCTGGCACCACTTCCTTCGCTTACTGTGTGGTCAGGAAGAAGGCAGTGGTATCTGAACAAGCTGGGTGCACAGATCCCTGTAGCTCAGTGTCCCCATGTCAAAAAGAGAAGTGCTGAAGGTGCTGGGTTCCCTCTGAGATGCCAGCTAGCTGAGACCCAGGTAACTACAGAGTACATTGCTTTTAGCAAAGGTTCAATTCTTGTGCTAGGTTAAATCATTATCGTTGAAATTCAAGTTCAAACACAATGAAAGCCCCACTTTTACCCAGGGGAAGTGTAATATGTGGGGAAATCCAGGCTAATTACATTTGACTTGAGTGCAAATTCTGACTCCTTAGGTGAGCTCCGGCCTGCCCACGACCATGAACACAGCTGAGGCAAGACACTATGAAAGAAAAGCTTCTGGAAGCACCTGGCCATAACAAGTGCCCCTTCTGAGCTCATTCTGTTTCCCTCATTAGGTTGTTCCACTCTACTGGTAACAAATATTTTTCTTCTGTTTCAATAAGTTGTAAAAATCAATCTCACATTTGTTTTCAAGAGGGATAATGTCTATAAGGTCATTGGCAACCTTGGGAGTACATGAAAGGCTTACTTGACATAAATGACAGAGAACTGAGGGTGAGTCGGGGGAAGAGGCATTTGGAAGGACTCTGGGGTCCCCTGATGGGGCTGTGCCAAATGCAGAAATAAGTCTTGAATTGATTCTCTCTGGGTGAATGATAAAGCCTCTATCCCAAGTTTCATAACTGTGTGTGTTTGAGTGTATGCACACACAGACACATGTACCTGCACATGGGAAATGGGAATGGAGGCATGCTCAAGACTGTTTTCTGTCCCTTTACTAAGAACAGCAGGACAGAAAAAAGCCAGAGGAAAGACAGAAGAGGTGGTGCTGTGTAAGCCTTCTAACTGCTAAATTACTGATAAAACAGTGAAAAAAGGACAAAATCCACAAATACTGGCACTGGCCCCACACGTCTAAACAGGATCAATTAAAGAAATCATCTTCGCCCTGGCCAGTTTGGCTCAGCGGTTAGAGAATCGGCCTGTGGTACAGAGAGACCTGGGTTCGGTTCCCACTAAGGGCACGTACCTCGGTTACAGTTTGTCCCCGGCCCTGGTTGGTCGTGTGGGTGGCAGCCACTTGATGTGTCCCTTGCACGTTGATGTTTCTCTGTTTCTCGCTCTCTCTCTCTCCCTCCCACTCTATCTGAATAAAAACTGGAAAAAAAATGTCCTCAGGTGAGGATAAAAAAAAAAAAAGAGAGCTAATTTTCAATCCTATGCTTCTTGGGTTTTTCTTTTTTCTTTTTCAATTAAAAAAACTGATGTTAGCCCTGGCCAGTTTGGCTCAGCGGTTGGAGCGTCGGCCTGTGGCATTTACATAGGGTTTGGGTTTGTCTCCCACTAGACATCTTTGGAGTAGGAAGATATTTTACTTTTTGTCTCACCTTGCCATCTCCTAATGGGGATGGAAGACTGATGAGCCCAGGTAGCCACTGGGGAGGTTCCTGTTCATGGAGGAAAAATCAGGGGAGGCAACACTGTCTGAGACACCATCTAGAATAAACTCATGAAAGCCGTTCACAGGTGAACCCCTACTATCTGCACCCACGACACTCCTCCATTTGAACTTCAAATAACTGACTTTGCTCCCTTCATTAAAAAAATAATTATTGAGTGCTTGCCTGCCAGGCCCTGGGTGTAAAGTGGTGACAAACAAAAATATTCCTATGTTCTAGGGAATTTACAGTCTGGTCAGGAAGACATCAGATAAGCCACTGTAGTGGAAACAATAGGGTGTTCTGAGATATAAGAGGTGGCCACATTAATGCAAGGCTCAGAGCATGAGAAAGAGCCAGCCTGCAGTGTTGGAAGAAGGACATTCCAGGCAGATGGGAGCGGTGGGCAAGTAAAAAACCTAGAGCTACAAAGTGATGAGGGCATGAGGGTGGAGAGGCAGGCAGGGACCAGAGGCAAGAACTAGGGGTCTAGACTGTAAGGACCAGGCTATGTGGACAACGTGCTATAAGAACCACCCGAACGCTTGCTCTTACCAGGACAGACAGTTTTCTAAGTGCTTGACGGTGTCACTCATGTACCCCTATCCTAGTTCTCAGAGGCGGTTCTGTTCCTGAGCCTGGTGCGCAGGGGAAGAAGTGGGGTTGTGCATGCCAGATGGTAACAATGGCCCTGGCCAGTGTGGCTCGACTGGTTGAACGTTGTCCCATGTCTGAAAGGTTGCTGGTTCCATTCCCAGTCAGGGCACATGCCCAGGTTGGGGGCTCAATCCCGGGTCAGGGTATGTGTGGGAGGCAACAGACTGATGTTTTTCTCACATCAATGTTTCTCTCTCTCTCCTTTCCTTTCTCTAAAAATCAATAAAAACATGTTAAATAAAAATGAATGAAGCAAGCAGGGTCCAGGCTGCACTCTGTGGCCCCTTAGGGACTCCTGGTCCCTGTTGATGTCACAATCCAGATAAGTGGTGAAAATGGAAAGAAGTGAACAGACTCCAGAGAGTGAGGGGTGAGATGGACACAACTTGTGACATATGATCAGGGAGAGGTAGACACCAGGTTTTAGTCCTGAGAACCTGGGTGCCTACTAACGCAATGACTGGCATGGCACGAGCTGCCTGGAAGACAAACGTCTCAAATAAAGGACATGCGGAGGCTGGTGCAGCTTCCAATCTTACCTAGATTGTTGTCAATCTTCTGGTGATAGGCTCGAAGGTGTGGATTCTTCGGGTAAGCCTCAGTACTTATTGCAGAAATGGCCCCTTCAGGGATGGAGTCTGAGTTTAGAAAGAAACACCAGGAGAACCATTAACTGATATCTCTGGAAATGCTGCTTCACTAAATTAATCTCAATCTTGAAAATGGGTGGAAGGAATAGGTGGTTGGACTAGAGGCTGTTTGGAGAGATGAGTGTGCGAATGGATAACATGCAGAGGCAGGAGCACTAGGGAGGCTCATGGTAGAGGAAGAGATACTTCCTCAATGCAGCCCTTCAGAGATCAAAGACCCTCAACCTACAGGTGACCAGGTCAGACACTGGCACACAAGGTCAGGAGACAGATTCATACAAGTAATAACGTGGCAGTGGAACTGCAACACTTCATAAACACACAGGCTCACAGACAAGGTCTAAAAGACAAGGTTCAAAAATAAAAATGGTTATGTTATAGAGATGGGATGATGTGTGATTTTTTTTCCTTTTGAAATTTATTTCTTTACTGTCTTTTTACTTCAAACAAAATAAGAAAAAAACAAATATTAATTTATTCTAGAAATAAATTTTCCTTGAACTTCAGTTTCTAAATGCAGAGAAAACCCTGTCTGTCATCCTGGTTTACAAATTTTTGGGGGAAACATCCCCTTCAGACTTGGTGTATTTTCTCTAGCACAACCTACTGAAGCCATTCTACACATACAGTGTCATTTTCTTTTTTTAAGTCTCTTAATACAAACCACACAAATAAAAACTCCCTTTAATTCCTTAAAATCATGTCTTTTTTTTTTAAACCTCGCCCGAGGACATTTTTCCATATTTGTTCAGACAGAGTGGGAGGGAGAGAGATGAAGAAAGAGAGAAACATGGATGTGAAAGAGACACATCGAGTGGCTGCCTCCCACACAGCCCTTGTTGGGTCAGGGCTGGGGACAAACTGCAACTGAGGTACATGCCCTTAGCAGGAACTGAACCTGGGTCTCTCTGGACCGCAGGCCGACACTCTAACTGCTGAGCCAAACTGGCCAGGGCAAAAATTGTGTCTTTTGGGTGTAGGACTCCTGCTCCACTTTTTCAGGGTATGATGAGTTTGATTTTTTTCCTGGGTTTATTTTAGTTTTCTCTCATTTCCTCCTGTGGTTTTTGCCTTTCCAGACTGAACTGCGTGGATCCCAGTCTTTCCTGACCCCCAGCTCTTCCTCCATCAGGCCTCTCCCTAGTTGTGTCAACCATGACAGTGGTGGATTCTGGTACTTCCACAGTGTGTCCTGCTTTCCGTGAAGGCATCACAGAAAGCATTTGGTTTCTGAAGCCCTCCCAATGTACCTGGCTTTCTAAGGGTCTACAGAAGCTCCCAGGATGCCTAAATTCCTTTTCAGGTAAGGGATGTTTCTGGGCTGTCATTTGATATAACGAGATGATTTCACACAAACCATTCTATCTTGCACACCTTTTCCAGCTGCTGCTTCTCCCTTGACTCAGGCTTGGGGACTGAATTAAGTCTCCTATTGCTGCTGTGACAAACTTATCCTTAAGTTCTAGAGGTTGGAAGTCCAATACGAGTCTCACTGGGCTACGATCAAGGTGTCAACAGCGTTGTATTCTTTCAGTAGGCCCTTGGCGAGAATTCAATTCCTACCCTTTTCCAGTTTCAAGAGGTCACCTAAATTCTTCAGTAATGCCCCCTTCCTATATCTTCAAAGCTAGCAGCGTATTATCTTTGGTCTCTCATTATGACACTCCCTCTTCTGCCTCCCTTTCCTCTTAGAAAGGACCTTTGTGATTATACTGGACCCAACTGGATAACCCAAGATTCTCCCCACCTCAAGATCAGCTGATTAGCAACTGTAATTCCCTCTGCAACTATATTTCCCCCTTTGACATATAACATAAATATTTATACAGGATCTGGGATTAGGACTGGACATCTTTAGGGGGCCATTGTTCTACTTACCATAGGGAAAACCATAGGGGTTTTCCTGCAGCTGGCTTTTCACTGCCAGAACTCAGGCTCATTTTCAATGGGACATAGGCTACCACTTCGTTATTCCACCCTCTATTGTTTGTTTGTTTGTTTTTTTATAATCACCGAGGACATTTTTCCATATTTTGTTCAGATAGAGTGGGAGGGAGGGAGGGAGGGAGAGAGAAACATCGACGTGAAAGGGACACATCCAGTGGTTGCCACCCACACGACCCAACCAGGGCTGGGGACAAATTGCAACCTAGGTCCTTGCCCTTAGCGGGAACTGAACCCGGGTCTCTCGGGACCGCAGGCTGATGCTCCAGCCACTGAGCCAAACCAGCTAGGGCTATTCTACCCTCTAAAGTAATGTACACCTCTAGCTCTCTGAGAGCAGTGCTGGGTCCCTAACACCCATCACCCAGCATGTAGGATGACAATAGCTGAAGCCCCTGCTGCACCACCCCCCACCCACTCAGGGCCAACACCAAATCCAGAGATCTCCCCACAGAATCCAAATGTGGGAGAGAGCACAGGTCTCCACTAACCTGAGTCATTCAGCTTCCTGAGGTTTGGGTGGCTGGCCTGGTACTGTGATTCCTGTTCTTTACTTGTACTTATAGCTTCTTTCAATCTTTTGATAAAAGTAAAGAAAAAAGAAAAACTTTTAGAAAGGAAAAACACTTATAACAGTATAGTCAGTCTTTTCAAGTAATGCCTGTGTGAGAAAATCAGATGCGTCCTCTGACCAAAGCAGGGATTCCATCAGCTCTGCCTAAAAGGCCCATGCCATGTAGCAAGTTTCTGAGATACTTGCTTCTGAAGCAAAGTATCTGGTTAGGTGGCTCTCCCTCAGGAAAACAAGGATCCTAGCCCCAGGTGGAAGAGAGCATATGAAACAACAAAGTGGGTACCTTACACCAGGACTCAGCAAACTTTGACCTACGGGCCAAATTCAGCCAACCACTTGTTTTTGTATGGCCACAAGCCATCTTAAATGGCTTTTAAGATGTCTACTACCAATCACTTAATTAAATGATAGGGAACACTAACTCTTAACCTCAATTAAGAATTTCAGTCTTCTGCTCAGCTAGTGTGGCTCATTGGTTGAGCGTCGACCCATGCACTAAGAGTTCACTGGTTCAATTCCCGGTCAGAGCACATGCCCAGGTTGTGGGCCCAATCCCCAGTGGGGGGCATGCAGGAAGCGGCCATATAATGTAAATATTGACATCTCTTTCATCAATGTTTGTATCTCTCTCTCCCTCTCCCTTCCTCATTCTCTAAAATTAATAAAGAAAAAATATTGGAAAAAATAAAAAAATAAAGAATTTAGGTCTTCTCAATAGTAGATCTATATTATACAAAAATTGTACTCAATTATTATTCTGAGTTTTATCACTAAAACTTTGTTTTTTACCCCCTCTTGTTATATAAGTCTCTATGAAATATCTTTGATTTCGCTTCCTGGCCCACAAAGCCTACTTTGCCAGCTCCAGCTGCAGAAAGGGACTGCTCTTGGCAACTCAGAGATACTCAAGATTGCACCCAACACCCCAATGAACCCCTATAGGTGTGGCATTTGTCTCCAAAGCTGGGCCTCCCACACGGTCTGCGCTTCTCCACCTCTGCTGACCAGTGGCTTGGCTACTTCATCAGCCAAGCTGGGATCCCCAGTTATTCTCCATTTTGGACCACCTTCTGCATGGACCATGCAAAAAAAAAGTCCTCTTGATCTCCCATGTACCCCAGAAACTCGGCTCCTCCTGTTGCCCTCTCTTTACCCTCAGAGATTAGTTCACTGTCTTTCCAATCCTTACCCCCCAAATGCCAGGAATCTTTCTAACATAATCCTGACATGTACTTCTCCAGTTAAAGTTTTTTTGTTTTGTTTTGTTTTATCCTTACCCAAGGACATTTTTTTTCCATTTTTTGTTCAGATAGAGCGGGAGGGAGAGAGAAGGGGAGAGAGAGAGAGAGAAAAAGAGAGAGAGAGAGAGAGAGAGAGAGAGAGAGAGAGAAATATCGATGTGAAAGGCACACATCAAGTGGCCGCCACCGCACAACCCAACCGGAGCTGAAGACAAACTGCAACCAAGGTACGTGCCCTTATCAGGAACCGAACCTGGGTCTCTCTGGACCACAGGCCCACTCTCTAACCACTGAGCCAAACCGGCCAGGGCTCCAGTTAAAGTTTTTAAAGGCTCTCTGCCCATTTGAAGCCAGCCTGGACTCTGTTAGGCTAACGGTTTTGCAGGCCCCAGTGCTCCACTGACATGTAGAATAGAGCAAAACTTTCTGAAACCTGAGGTTTTCATTACTCAGCAGCAGTGACTGAAGATCCAGAACACACAGCTGGTTTCTCTGAACACGACATGTGTTGCCGAGCTAGGTCTATGTGGGAGACGCGTGGATTCCGAGCCCTCCTGGACACCATCCAGCCTGCACACCTCAAAGCTGACTGTTTTTCTGTGTACTCTTATGTGAACAGTAGTACTACTGACATAAAAACTAGGTTTCTTAGTAAAAATTAGTTCCCCCAAAGAAAGCCAATTCTAGGGATAGTGGTGATAGAAGTGGTAAGAAAGAGAAAGAGTTTAAGAGAGTGGTGGCTCTTGGTCAGAAGCCAAGTCATGACTAAATTACAGATTTTCAGGTTTAGTGGTGGTTAAAGCTATGATCCCACTGGAACCCCCATGAGTTTTAAATGGAATGACAGTAAGCACCTTAAGAAGCTTTGTTACCAAGAACAATGGTTTACTAAGAGACAAACAAAACTTTACAGAAGGGCCCTGGCCAGGTGACTCAGTTGGATGGAGCATCGTATTGTATACCAAAAGGCTGAGGGTTTAATTTCTGGTCAGGACACATACCTAGGTTGCAGGTTCGATCCCCGGTCGGGGTATGTATGGAAAGCAACTGATTGATGCTTCTCTCTCACACTGATGTTTCTCTTTCTCTCCCCCTTCCTCTCTCTCTAAAATCAATAAACATATTCTCAGGTGAGGATAAAACAAACAAAAACTTTAAAGAAGACCCAAGGGTTTGTGCAATAAGGATGTATACAGAAAACACATGATTGACAGACGTTTGATTAAGTTCTTAACCTTACTTTAAAAGCTTGTAAATGATAAATATTCCTGTATTTATGGATTAAAGGTTTAATAGACCACACAAATTTTATTCACAATTTACTGCATTTTGTAGAAGCAATTATATATTTTAGTGAGTTTTGCAAATTTAGGGATTAGGAATTCACAGGTCTTACCGTCACAGGCTATGCCTCAATGTTAAGAGCCTGCTGGGCTCCCATTCTGGAAACAGCCAATGTCCTCCCTTGCCCTGGCTTCTCTGGTGCCCTGGCTGCTATGTGTTTGCCCCTTTGCCCCTCCTTCAACTGGGAGACTTCCACACAACTCTTACTCCGTGCAAAAGGTCAGCTCCTCAGTCCCCAGAGCCAAGTTACCCCTCCTCTGAGCCTCCACTGCATCACTGCTGACTGTCTGCCTCCCCCATACCTTCCAACAGACAGAGACCTTTCTCCTACAGCTTCATCTCCCAGCCAAAGGCACGGGCCTGCAGAGTGTGGGCGCTCAGGACCCATGAAGAAAGGAACATACACAATGTTATCAGAACAGCCTCTCTACAAAGCTGCACAGATCTGCTTTCATGCATATTAGAACAACACTTGAATGAGAGCAAGTTGCTTCATGTAAAAATTTTATTTTCCTGCATTTACTAAGTGATGGCAAGAACTCTACAATTGACTGGGGCTGATCTATGGACAGAGACCAGATGGGGTACATGACATGGGGCACCGAGAAGCCCTCCTCTATGAAATAACTCTGGCTGCCTCCCTGCTGGAACACTTTGTTGGGAAGGCCTCCAATTTTCAAGATGTTCCAATAAAAGGGAAATTATCTTGGGAGCCCTAGAACCGTAAAGGCTTTTATACTATGAGCCCCAAGAAGAAGCCTTTGGGAAGAAGTATGGAGGACACAGGAAAGTGCCAATCACAAACCCACCAGCTTCTCACTTCTCCAAGGGCTTGCTCTTATGCTGAGTTCATGTGAGGTAGATGTCTCCCCATCCAAAGTGAACAGACATCCACACTTCTTATGATACTTACAGGTAGCCAAAAATGAGGACACACATCATCTTTCTGATTTGCATATTGAAAAAAAAAACCTACTCCAGTTGGGGGAACAAGGTGACAAAATATTTGAAATTAGGGTCAAACTGGAAATTTGGGGATAAATGGAGATCATGGCTGAGCCAAAAAACAAACAACAAACCTTCATAACCTTGGCTAGTGTATCCACAGAAAACAGTCCCTGGACCCCTCACCAATGACTTGATCTGCCTATTCTTTCTGCCGCCACCACTGGCTTTTTTGCCTAGAGTTTTTCTCCCAGCCCACTGTGAGGTGAAAATGGTTTCTGAATTTCTCCCCCCTGGCACCCTACTTCCTGATCTGGGTGATGGCCACACAGGTGTATACATAGGTTAACAGTCATTGGCTCTCTACTTAAGATCAGTTATGCATTAAAAAAAATACCTCTTAAAAAATAGCTTTGCCCTGGCCGGTTTGGCTCAGCGGTTGGAGCGTCGGCCTACGGTCCTGGGAGACCCGGGTTCGGTTTCCGCTGAGGGCATGTACCTCGGTTGCAGTTTGTCCCCGGCCCTGGTTGGTTGTGCGGGTGGCAGCCACTCGATGTGCCCCTTTCGCATCGATGTTTCTCTCTCTCTCTCTGTTCCTCTCTCTCCCACTCTGCCTGAACAAGAAATGGAAAGGTGTCCTCGGGTGAGGATAAAAAAAAAAAAAAAATAGCTTTATATTCCAGGATTAAAAGAGAAAGAGAGACACACACCCAGAGATCATTATGGAATAATATCACATCAAACATTTTTATGGGTTAAGTAGAAGCAGGCTACAAAACCAAAAGAATCTTCTGATATAATAAATACAACCATGAAGTCAATGAATAAGAAAAACTTAAAAAGTTTTGGTAGATAAGATGCAGATTTTCTGTAATATGGATACATTTTCTTTTTTTTTATCCTCACCCGAGGACATTTTTCCATTTTTTGTTCAGATAGAGTGGGAGGGAGAGAGAGAGAGAGAGAGAGAGAAACATCGATGTGAAATGGACACATTGATGTTTTTCTCTCTCTCCCTCCCACTCTATCTGAATAAAAAATGGAAAAATGTCCTTGGGTGAGGATAAAAAAAAATCGGTTTTTATTTTTATTTTTTAGCGAGAGAGAAAGAGAAAGGGAGAGAGAGAGAGAAACATTAGCTGCCTCCTGCATGCCCCACACTGGGGATCGAGCCCACAAACTGGGAATCAAACTGGTGACCGCTTGTTGCATGGGCTGACGCTCAATCCACTGAGCCACACTGGCTGGGCTGGCCACATTGTTTTTATAATTAAAAAAAAGATACAGTGATCTGAGATATGAATAGTATTAATCTATTTGAGCAGAAACTCAATTCTTTTCTTTTAAATACGTGACATCTAAATGCTTGTCAATATCACATGTATGATTTCATTATACTCTAGCCAAAAATGTGAGAATAATCTCTAATTTTAAAATTAAATCCATGAAAATCAATTGGCAACTTGGATTAAATATAGAAAAGTTCACTATAAAGACAAAGCAAAAATTTGGTGAAGTGAGTCACATTTGTATTGATTAAGCTTTCTGAAGTAAACATTCTCTCTTTCAAATCACAGGGGTCACAATTACTGGAGCCATAATATACTGGAGACCCAGCTGATGCTGAATTTGCAGACTGGATGTCAATTAAATAAAGGTAATTGGGAGTGTTGGAGAAATGTTTCTTGTTTCTTGTTTGAAGAGGAATCCCTACCAGTGAGAAACTTACATGGTTCTTTGATCCCTTTAACGTACTAGAAGTGGCCTGATGGTTTGGGTTATTTGCACTAAACCCCATTTTCTGCTACTTCACATAAGAACATCTGAAGGGCCACTCACCTGCTGTTGGGCTGGGGGGTGAGGGTGTGATTCTGTTCAAGTGGGGTCTCTGCTGGTTTAGATTTGAAGTAATTGACGAAGCCCCCAAACACACTCTTAATGCTGTTAATGTGCTTCTGGCTGATCTTCAAATCTTGATCCATTTTGTCCACCATCTTCTCTGTGCGTTCTAAGACTCCTCGCTGACGGACAAGCTCCTAGGAAAAACCAGAGGTGATGGCATTGTATGTTCTTGTAATTCCCTCTCTCCTGTACAGGACCACACACAGCAGACTCTTCACAAACCCTCAGTGACCACATATGGGGGACAGAAACTGTGATTTGTGAGGGGTACGCTATTCTTTTTGACAACACATTCCTTTGTCTTCCCCTCCCTGCTCTACCTCGAATTGCTTGCTTGCTTATTTGTTCTCGAGTCCCTTTCCCCTCCTGCCCATCTGAGGTTGATTCATAGAACCATGTTAAGACGGATGTAATGTGCTTGTGAGAGTCAGAATGCAGGGCCTGGACTGGCAGCAGACCTTCTCTGGCCCTCCCCTTAACCCCAATAACCCTTAAACACTTAGATTATGGTTTTGTACTCTTTACTTTTAGATATGGAAGTTCCCATTGAGATACCTGGCTCTGGTCATGTCTTTAAACTCTCTTGGACTAAGTTCTGGGGTCCTTTCTGTTTATAAGTGACACAGTCCTTCAAACTCTCAGAGTCTGCACCACTCTGCTGACTCAGTAACGAAACCAAACATCTTATTTAGATGTCATGAGAGAAGTGCAGAGACATATGTGGGGTGGCTTGTCTTGCTGTGAGGTTGGAAGGCCAGGAAGTGAATGCTGCTTTGGTCTATGGAAGTTTCTGTGAGCTGGAAGCTGGTGTTTGCTGGAGGTGATCTGCTGGTCAGGAGGCCAGAAGAGGAACTTCTACTAAAATCCTTCTCCAAGGCAGAGGAAAGGACCGGACTCCATGTACCTGTGACTAAGTTCTAACCAACAAGGAAGACAGTTTGGCAGAACACCAAGAGCACCTAAAATGTGGATGCCTGCCTGCTGGGCCTAAGTGTCCAACACCTCCAGAAGTCAAGCGTGTTGGCCCAAGACCCCCATCATAGATCACATTGTTCACATAAATTATCTGACCTGACCTAAGGACTCAGGGAAACAAAGACACTCATATCAGGGTAATTCAAGGGCAGAAAGGCAGATAAGGCCTTTCTTTGGAATGTGCAGGATGTGGACAATTCAGGCCAGCTGAGTTAGTCCTTTACTTGGGCCCCAGGTCTCCTTGCACACATACATTACCACCTTTGCTCATGGTGGTGGTTGTATGCAACCCTGTATTCAGTTTATGATTCTGAATCACTTCATGCTATCACTATGAGACATGCTGTGAGACTCAAGTGCTACTATACTGAGACAGAGCCTAGATTTACACATGTTCCACTTGTGCTCATGAGTTCCTGCCAGTGCTTGTGCATGTGTGTGCTCTTTGGAAGATGAACTATATAGTGAAGATAAATTTAAAGTTTCTAAATTCAGCTTTTTTACTCCAAATTGACATTTGCCACTTGTATTTGATTCCTGAGTTTAATTACAAGCTTAACATGAGAAACAGTATTGACACCTTTCCCTTAAGAGCTCTGAGCATGACTCAAGGAAGATGCCGAGATCCATCTGACATTATGAGATGCCTTGGCTGTGAATTGGGGTTGAGGTCTGGTGGTCACTGTTGCCCTTTGAAGGTCATAGCTCTGCCCCATCATTGAACTTTGCTGGGTCCTGCCTGATATCCCCTCCTGCTCCCTGTCATGATCACCACATACAGTTCCTCTTCCTTTCTCAGTTCCCCCAATGGGCCCTGCTGCCCCAAGCCACTGCACTGGCCACTCCCTCTGAGCCAATGCTCTTGCCCCACCCTGACTCTTTGACTCCCTAACTTCTCAGCTTTCAGTTTCTCACCCCATTGGGGAGGCTCCCTGACCCCCTCTGTGAGGGGCTTACCCTGGCAGAGCCTCAATCGCTTGTGTATGATGGCTTTTTTGTCTCTCTATCCCATGAGACTAAGCTCAGTGAAGCAGCGGCTCAGTTGTCTTCCTTGGATTTTCAGTACCACAGTGTTATCCACAAATGAAAAACCAGATTTAACTTTCCTCACACTATCCTCTGCTAGATTATCAGCTCCATCAGGGCAGAGATTTGGGGTGTTCATCCCTGAATCCCATGCACCTGGATCAGTGCCTGACAGAGAGAGGGAGGGTGCTCAATAATAGGTGTTGATGCGTGTCTTGAAGCACCTGTCATTGTGTGTGTTTTCAAAGAGCACTGCCAGCCACAATGCCCTGACTTCACATCCTCACATGGCCCTTGGACATACTCCATTGAGCAGGTGCCACCTCACATCTGGCAGTGTACACCCTCACCGGGTCTTCAGCTGTCTTCTACTTCCCCTTGTTCTATCAGGAATCTCTGTGCTTAACAAAAAGCCACAAGCCAAAGAGGAATTGAGACACTCCCTCTTTCTGTGTTGTCATCAGTATTGTACCTTCAGCCAACCAGATTTTTCCTCCAATCATCTTCTTTTCCAGTTTAATGTTAGAAAACTCCTTAGGGGGCTCAAGGGAGAGGGAATCACCTGTAATGCTAACACCTGAGCTAAGAGTTTTGTATGTGTGCCTTTTACACTGAGGGCACTTTGCAGAGCTCACAGCCCCCCCCTCCCCCCTTAGGTGACCTTCTGTTCTCACAGGAACCAATAGAGAAGATGTGACGTGACTCCCTTCTGAGGGATGGGAGCACGCTTGTGATGGGAGCATTTGAGGCCTGCCTTCATAATGACTGGGGTGGAGAGCCTATCTGGACCCCCAGGTTTGGGTGAGCTTCTTTGACTGGCAGTACTCTGTATGTGTTGTTATACATCATTGCTGAGAGAAGTATGTGTTGTCCACACAACTTCATTGGGAGAGAACAGCTAGAAGTTCACACCTGATCTCTGCCCTATAAACCCTTTTCCTTTCAGAATTTAATCTGTATTCTTTTACTGTAATACACCATAATTACAAGTATAATAATTTTGCCGTTAGTCCTAAAGAATCAATGGGCCTGAGGGTGGTTCTGGGGACGCTCAAACAACATCTCTCAGAACCACCAACTCAGAGGTGGAAGGCTGGAGAGCAGACAGTTCCTCAGCACATTACCTGGGCAGTAGAGTAAGGTCTCTCAGGACAACAAGGGAGCCATTAGATGACATTTCAGGAAGGAGCAGCTGATATGGCCAGATGCCACATCTCTGGTGTGGGATGTCTGACCTACTGGAATGGTAACAATTCATCTTCACAAGGTGCCTTGTTACAGCTAAGGAGCCAACAAGCTTTGCCTGGGATCCTAAATCATTGGCATTTGATGAAAAATTAGTAAAAACAAAACAAAAAATAATCCAAAACAGATCTGTTGGTGAAGATGTAGTCTAATGACACTTCTCTATCAGAGTCCCTTACACCTGGTAGAAAGCCTGAAATGCCTAAGGAGGCATGTTCTGGACATTAGAAGGAAGATTTATCCAGAGCCACAATGATCAATTCATTCTTCCCATCAATCTCTCCTCCACTTCCAATCAATCCTCTGCTCCACTCCCCCCTTCTTTTTCCTTTCCTTCCCCAGGTCATTTATTCACCTGGCAACGATTTGGGGAGCACCTAATAACATAAAGGACACTGTGCTGAGAAGTGTGGGAGTACATGGCTGAGCAAGAGACTGCTCCTCCCCCACAGTTATCATTTGGAAATCTACTAGGGAATTACTTAACCTAGCAGATGTTTACCCCCTCCATCAGCCTTTATGTCAGGACAGGGTTGTACCCAGAATTATGGCCACATCAGAACCACCACAGGCTGCCTTGGAAGGGAAACACTGGTCAGTATAGCCCCTCATTTGGAGTGGGGAAGGTTCTGCTCCAAGGCCAGTTTCCCAGAGAATAGGAGCACCACCCTAAGTTATGGAGACACCCTGAAAAGATGGCCACATGGCCTCTGTTCCTGGGCTAGAAGGGTGTTCTCTTGCCCATCTCTCTGAAGTAAATGTTCAGTATGGCTTTGGTGACTGATGAGTGCTGGAAAGGCACTGAGACAGCAAGTGAGGCCCCAGCACAAAACTATGCAGGACATTCTGGCTGAGGCTGCTGAGTGCATCATGTTCGAATCCTACTAAACACCATTCCCTTTCCACTGATGTTACCAAATCAGGTGTTCAGGCCCAGGTCTAAAATTTGTTGCTCTACTCCCCTGCACTGAGATCCCAGGCCCTACAAAATGTCACTGGAGCAGAAGGAATGTGAAGTGCCCTGGGCAGGCTCCTTGGACAGAGTGGTAAAAGGGTGGACAAAAACAGCGTCCAAGCAGGACACAAACCGGCTCACCCAAAGGTGCAAATGACTCAAAAGCCCATCATTAGGGCACTGGTTACAGAAACAGAAGCCATCATTCAATGGAATATGGCATAGCAAAAAACAAAAGAGGAGCACATTATATATTGTTATGGAATAGCCTCCAACTCTGTTAAACAGACTAAAATGTATAGGATGCTTCTGCTTAAGTTAAAATTTAAAAAAAAGGAAAAAGACTATAAGTATGCCTTTAAATACAGGATAAGAATATCATTATAAAAACACCTAAGGACCTGATAGTAAGTAGCTGCTGTGGGGGCAGAGGGATAGAAGAAAACTTCATAGCCCTTTGTATGTTTTGAAATTTGAACCATGTGACTGAATTATTACTTCACAAAAATTAAACCTTAGAAAAAGAAAAGAAGAAATAAATCACATTTGAGCTGAATGGCCTACAAGTTTGTCTATGGTTCTGGACTGTGCTTACCAGGCTAGCCAAGTGCAACCTGCTCTGCACTGCTTACTTCTCCTCTGTCCTTTGGCGGTCACAATCTGCACTAGTCCTTGTGAGAAACAAACCTAGCCAGGTTTCACAGGAGAAGGAGAGCTCTCCTTTGCTAAAGGCTACCTAAGTAATTTTCCTCCTTCTGCCAAGCTGAAACTGAATGATGACCTTCCCAACCCAGTATTATTTGTAAACTCCTATCCTCTATAAAAATCTGTCATGTTTTGGCTTGTTTCATAGTGCTGAGTATCCAGCAGGCACCCATCTAGGCTGGGAGGTGAGCAGGTGACTTGGAACTGCTGGGAACCACCCTGTGCACCGAGTGGCAGGAATAGCTCACCTGTTCCATCACTGCACTGCCACTCTGAGGGAAATGAGTGATGAGAGTAATTTAAAGACAGTTTGGAGAGTATAAAATAGGGTGGGGAGGGGTGCTGACCATTCCTGCCTCCAATAATTGAGAACTCAGAAAAATTCAACATGCAGTCACGATCATACTGTACCTCTCAGAGCAACACCAGGTTGGCCCAGGCTCAGCCTCATGAGGCTGAGGTACCAATCTGTATCTGTTCTCACAGCCCCCACTGTATAGAGAGAAGGCCCTTTGGGGGCAGTGTGGGGTGTATCAACTTATGAAACAACTCACATCTTCTGCTTTTGGTTCTCTTGTTATGAGAACAGACCTTCCCTCTAGACTACAAAAAACTCCTAAGTTAACTCCTCCAGGCTCTTACCTCATCCTCATCCTGTGCATCACTTCCCTGCACAGGAGCCTTGGAGCTCTGGTTCTGGGCCACTGCCTTTGTGTTGCTCCTCTTTTCCCTGGGAAAACCTCTCTTCCTCCTCACTCCTCTTGTTTAAACTTTAGCCTAAAAAGCCAGATTTACGTTTACCTGCTATTATGATTCTGACTTTTTATCATTCTGATTTCTTCATGTGTTCTGTTTCCAAATATGTCTCTTCAAACAGTTCTTAGTTGGCTTCCTTGGACCTGGGATACTCAATCAAGTGACCCCTTCACCAAGGCCCCAAGTACTCAGCAATCCTCCCAAATCTGAGTCAACATTTTCCACTTGGGAATCCAGGAAACAGGACATGTAAGAACTACAAGCTAAACTTCCTCAATAAGGCTAAAGACAGGAAGGTGAGCCAATGAGGGATACTGTACCAGGGAGAAGGTGGGAAGGAAAATCACCCAAGAGAGGGGTAATGAGTAAATGAAAGAGATGACTATTTGAGAAGTTAATCAATATACCTTAAAACTGCCCAAGATGATAAGTGATCAGGTCAGAATGAACTTTGCCAGGGAAAAGAATTACAAGGAGTTCTGGTCAGTTTGGCTCAGTGGTCAGAGCGTCGGCCCCTGGACCAATGAGTTGTGGGTTCGATTCTGGTCAAGGACAAGTACCTCGGTTGCAATTCCTCTCTGGCCCTGGTAGGGGTGGTGCGGAAGGCAACCAGTTGATGTGTCCTTCTCACGTTGATATTTCTCCCTCTCTTTCCTTCTCTCTCCCTCCTACTCTTATCTGAAGATAAACGAAAAAATATCCTTGGGTGAGGATTCAAAAAAAAGAATTACAAGGAGACCCATGGAGGAAGATAACACTTTAGTTTCCAGCATTACATTTCAAAGCTACATATGCTTAAGATTAATTATTCTTAGCTGACACACCAATAATCTGCTATTCTGTTTTTTAAAATGTAAAAAAAGGTAGTCCACCAACCAGGCCAGCCCAAGCCAAACTCCTGCTGCATTCCACCATGCATAAAGCACTCCTGCTGCTGTGTGTTGCCCTGGTGCTACTTGGGCCTGTACATGGAGCCACACTGAGAAACAAAAGAAATGGAAGCCACTCAACAACCCCAGAAACCAAGATCTTTTTTTTCAGAACCCTTAAGGCATATCTTAAGGAAAGAGGTCTCGAGAATCCCAGACCTCTCTCTTTGACATCAGAATTTATTGCTTCTGTGTTTGCTGATTATGAAAAGCAGAAAAAGTCCTTTCCCAGTTACCTGAGGCTGAATGTTTCTTCTGAGAGCAGGTATCTGGCTATTTTTAAACTGAGGATGAAGCCTCTTGTTAGAAAATCCAATCATGGTAAAAAATTTAAAAATTAGAAAAAAAAAAAAACTAAAAAAAAAAAAAAAAAATGCCCACACAACCATTTCATTAGTAACCTGAGGAGAGAATGTGGTAATCCTCACATAAGATCCTACTCTGAAATCTACTATAAGTGGAAAGAACTGACAAAGGTGAGTTGGAGCAATGGACTGTCCCAACCACACACTGTCTACTTAGGTCTTTGTTTGGATTTTAGAAGTAAAGATAAGGCCCTAGTCTGGCCCAAACTCGTGGTTTGGCTTACTCAGTAGGTGTCTAGGCAAACAAGACCTCAACATCTCTCTTGGCAAGGTGGAGAAGTGGTCACTGATGGGAAAAAAACTGAAGGCCTATTTGCTCTTATGCTTCAGACACCAGCAGGCACATAGTCCTCACTCATTCTGGGTCACTGTGGCAAGGAATGGCTGAAGCTCTTGGGCCAGACTTCCGACCAGAAACTTATGTTAAAAAAACCTGATCCTGGCCAGTTTGGCTCAGCGGTTAGAGCGCCGGCCTGCGGTCCGGAGAGACCCGGGTTCGGTTCCCGCTAAGGGCACGTACCTCGGTTGCAGTTTGTCCCCGGCCCTGGTTGGTCGTGCGAGTGGCAGCCACTCGATGTGTCCCTTCACATCGATGTTTCTCTCTCTCTCTCTCTCCCTCCCACTCTATCTGTACAAAAAATGGAAAAATATCCTCGGGTGAGGATAAAAAAAAACAACAAAAACCTGATCCTCCATTTCCCTAATCCAGGTTCTGCTGTTCAGAATTTTTTACTTACCTGGACAGGACACACTGTGGAGTGTACCTCTGAACTAGGAGTAGAAAAAAATGAATCAACTAAGCAGTCTAATGACTAAGGAAGATTCCTGGGAGCAAATTGCCTCTTTCAAATACTCATGATGCACATCTTTACACAAAGTTAACAAATCCTAACAAATAGTTAAATCACTAAAGTACAAGAACCTATTCTAGACAATTCGAGAATTCCCCAAAGATTGTGAACAAAACATTTCTCAACCTCTGTGACAATGCAGACTTGCCGTTCCAGCCTAGCCCTGCTCCAGACTCACCTCGGAAGAGGCGACCCCAACCTTCTCAGACTCATACATGAGCGACAAAGACCTGCTGGTGCTGGCGGCCGCGGCCTCGGCCCTGCGCATCACCTCCTGCCGCAGGTACTGCTGCCTGTCCGCAGGCGCGCCGGGCTCGACAGAGAGGTCGCGGGCGTCCTTCCACGTTATCGGCGGGGCGCCCTCATCCTCCGCGTCGTCGTCGAAAGGGTTGTAACTTTTGGAGTAGGCCGACATGGTTCCGGCTTTCGGCTCGGTCTGGGCAGGAACAGGAGGTGCTCGGCCGAGGCGAGGAATGGCCTTTCCGGGCCCGCAGGGGTCCCGGCTGCCCTTCCGAAATCCTCCGGAAGTGCCTACCACCCAGCAGCCCCACCGTGCCGCCTTCCTCCGTCTAGTGCCTCCCTCCGCCTGTCGATTCCGCGGTCGCAACGCAAGCTTCTTCGGCGCTTCGAGAGTGGGTGACCCTGCGTCTGGAGCCGACCATCGTGCCCAGAGGCTTGGGGGGGGGACCACGCTTGGAACACGCCACCCGACCTATCGCAAGGCTTCTCTCCCCCCTCTAGTGATGGGACTTCTCCACGGCCACGCCCCACCTAGATCGGCAACAGAGAAGTCACGTGGTGGGGAAGCCGGATGCAGCCGCGCCTGCGCGGTGAGCTCTGGAGCTGGCGGGCCGGTTCGGGAAGCCGGCGGGCAGCGCCGCTGTGCGCGCAATGATGGCGGCGGCCCGAGGAAGCAGCGGGTCCAGCTGTGGTTCCAGCTGCGGTTCCGGCTGCGGCTCCAGTGTCTCTCGGGGTTTCTATTTCAACACGGTTCTGTCATTGGCCCGCTCTCTGGCAGTGCAGAGACCTGCATCCTTGGAGAAGGTACTCTGGGCCGACCCGGCCGCGAAGTGACAGGAGAGGAGGGCTGGGGTGCCAACGAGGGGAGGCTGGGCGAGGGTCTGCAGGAGGCCGAGAAGGCGGTCGCGTACTGCCTGTGTGGGGAGATGGCTCATGAGCTGAGGTGGCTGGCGGGGTGAGGAAGCCCGTGTGGGGAGTGGGCCGTGTGCATAGGCGGGGACACTGCTGGTGGGTGGGCGTGAGATGGATGTGTGAACTACAGGCCGGGGTTCGAGCCGAGGGGGCACCTTGTGACATCGTTGGGGCGGGGGCGGCAGTGAGGAGCAGTGGCAAGAGCCTAGGACCATGGTACAGTTTTGGAGCTCTGCTCCCAATTTTCCCTGCTTTTTATTCTGTGACGTTGGGGAGATGCCTTTCTTGTAAAATGGGGGTGCTTTTACCTACTTTGCCTGGTTCACGGAACTGTGAAGGGCAGATAAGCTAGTGTTTCTGGAAGTGCTTTCTAAAATGCAAATATACTGCGCATTGTTTTTCTGTGACACTAGAGGGGGCGTTAGATTGGGTAGAAGACTGAAGTAGGGACAGTGTGGCAGGGAAGCACGAGTCAACTATCAGTGGGCAGGGACTTGAACTGGGAATTGCTTCAGAGGAAAAATAATTTATGCCATTAGAATCCTTATCTTGGGAGAAAGGTGAACGGTAACTAAAAGGTGTGCCTGGAAAGAACATAGATTTTAGATTCAGACCTGTTTCATCCCTGCACTGTCACTTACTGTGCATTGGCTTAGATAAGTTACTTCAACTCTCAGAGCCTCTGTTTCCTTATCTGTGAAATGAAGTGGTTCTTGAGGATTTATTGAGTTCAAGCATGAAGTGCCTTGCACAGACCTAGGTACAGAGTAGGTGAACAGTAAAGGTTAGCTTTCTATGAATCACACCAGTGTGTGATGAGACTCATTACAGTGTGTTAGTATTGAAGGGATGGGATTTTTTCCCCACATAGCTTTCTGGCAGATGAGAAGAGAATGTTGTCTGACAGTAGGAGAGCAGTGGTGATTGGAGTCTGGCCTGCTGTAGTTGGGAGTGGTTTTGTGGTTCTGGTGAAGGGTGAAGCTGAAATGCTGTTTTAGGTGCTTTGGCAGAGTGGCCTAGTTCTTCCTTGCTTTTGTACCTCCCACACTTGGTTTACCATTCAAATGCAGGGTGAGCAGTTCTTGGGAGACTGATGCCAACCTGACTTCTAGTTAAAGGAGTACAATAGAATGGAAAGAATATGAGTTACAGAGATAGGACCATCTGAATTTAAATCCTGTGTCATTTGTTTACGTTGGTGTAACTGGACAGGTCACTAAAAGTGCTCTTTTCTCCACATTCTCTCCAGCACTTGTTTGATGACTTGTTGGAGGGAGCCATTCTGGCAGATGTGAGGTGATACCTCATAGTTGTTATAATTTGCATTTCTCTGATAATCCGTGACATTAAGCATTTTTTCATGTCTTTTGGCCATTTGGATGTCCTGTTTGGAGAAGTATCTTTTCAGTCCTCTGCACATTTTAATTGGATTTGTTTGACTTCCTTTTCCTGAGTTGCAAAGCTGATTTTTAAACTTTGTTAGGGCAAAATGTTTGCTCCAGGGATAGTTTAGCTCCACTATGTGGCACTTCTGAGGTCTCTACTGAATACTTTGAGGGCTTTCCACTCTGACTGGGATAACTTCAGACTCCTCACAGCTCTGTATGATCTCTGGGAACTATTCAGCTCCCAATTCTCTAGGTGTTCTTTGTCCAACTTTATGGCTATCAACCTATACTGGTTTATCTTAGTATTCATTAAATGCTCAGGGAACTCTGTTGCAGATTTCTGGAGCTTTTTTCCTATTGAGGTCTCTTCAGAATTTTCAGTAGCTTTAGACCTCTGTATTACCATGTCTGTCTCTCCAATTTAGTGAGACCAACATTATCTGCCTGGGATGCCCTTCCCTGTTCTGTGGTCCAGGATGTGTCTTCTGGTAGAAAACCAGGGCCATCATAGAGCTCACTTTGTTTCCTCTCTCTCAGGTATTACAATCCTGTACTCTTACATCTGTCCATTTTCCTAGTTGTTTTATGGCAGGAAGATAAATCCAGGCCCTGTTATTCCCTCATGGCTGCTGGTGGAAGTTCTTGGATCATAGGATTTTATTACTGGAGCAGATATTATTAAAAATCGGTCTAGTCATCTTTTTTTTTTAAAATCTTCACCCGAGGACTTTTTTCCATTGATTTTTCAGATAGAGAGAGAGGGAGGGAAGGAGAGAGAGAGAGAAAAAAACATCGATGTGAGAGAGACACATTGACTGGTTGCCTCCCATACAACCCTAACCAGGGCCTAGGATTGAACCTGCAACCCAGGTACGTGACCTTGAGTGGGAATTGAACCCACAACCCTTTGGTTGGAGGGCCAACACTCCAACTGCTGAGCTAAACTGGCCAGGGCTTGGCATGGTTTTAAGACACAAGATTACACCCTGGCCGGTTTGGCTCAGCGGTTAGAGCGTCGGCCTGCGGTCCTGAGAGACCCGGGTTCGGTTCCCGCTAAGGGCATGTACCTCGGTTGCAGTTTGTCCCCGGCCCTGGTCGGTTGTGGGGTGGCAGCCACTCGATGTGTTCCTTTCACATCGATGTTTCTCTCTCTCTCTGTTTCTCTCTCTCCCTCCCACTCTACCTGAACAAAAAATGGAATGTCCTCGGGTGAGGATTAAAAATAATAATAATAAGACACAAGATTACGTATGCTTCTGTACACACACATACACTTAGTGTTTTGTCCACATTTTACAGAAGGAAATACAAAGGCAGAGATCTTCAGTTACGTTTTTTTTATTTATCTAGGATCACTTAGGTAAGAAGTGGCAAAACTGGACTGAAAATCAGAACGTCCTGACTCTGTGCAGTTTCTCTAATCATTGGAGTACTTCCTGTGGAAATGATGTACCAGGAATCAGAGATGTGCATTTCATGTGTGGTTCCCTGCCAGGCACATGAGCGGGGCTCAAGAATGGTGGCTCATTAGTTGTATAGAAAGGCCCATGTAGGGTTGCCTGTGTTGAATGTTGTAGAAAGCCATGTTAATAGGTCATGCAATCATCTGCAGATGACCCAAAGAGCCATGTTTAATGAAATCCTCCTCCCAGGCTGCTTGTAGGAGCAGGTGCTCTGTCACCTGTACCTGCAGCTTCTTGTGCGCCATGTCACAGTCACCTTTGTTTATTCTGATAGCTCTGTGTTACTTAGAAATGTTAAATATGTTCAGTGTTCTCTGTCTAAGGAATAGTACCTTTCATTTTTTTTAAATCCTCACCTGAGAATATGCTTATTGATTTTAGAGAGAGAGAGAAACATTGATGTGAGAGAGAACAATTGATGTGAGAGAAAACATTGATTGGTTGTCTTCTGCATGTGCCTCGACCTGCGATTGAACCTGCAACCAAGGTATGTGCCCTGACTGGAATTGAACCCACAGCCTCTTGGTGTACGAGATGATCCTCCAACCAACTGAGCCACACTGGCCAGGGCAGGAGCAGTACCTTCAAGAAAGAACAATTTATGCCTGGCTGGTGTGGCTCAGTGATTGAGCGTCGACCCATGTATCAAGAGGTCCCTGTTCGATTCCTGGTTAGGGCACATGCCCAGGTTGTGGGCAGAATCTCCAGTGGGAGGCATGCAGGAGGTAGCCAGTCGATGTTCTCTCTCATCAATGTTTCTATCTCTCCCTCTCCCTTCCTCTCTCTCTAAAATCAATAAAGAAAAAAATTTAGCCCTGGCCAGTTTGGTTCGGCGGTTAGAGCGTCGGCTTGCAGTCCCGAGAGACCTGGGTTCGGTTCCCACTAGGGGCGTGTACCTCGGTTGTGGTTTGTCCCTGGCCCTGGTTGGGTCATGTGGGAGGCAGCCACTCGATGTGTCCCTTTCACGTTGACATTTCTCTCTCTCTTCCTCTCTTTCCCTTCCACTGTATCTGAACAAAAAATGGAAGAATGTCCTCGGGTGAGGGTTAAAAAAAAATTTTATTTAAGAGAAAGAACAATTTAAAAAATAGTTTAGCAAAAACCGAAATAAACAGAAAAAAACTACCACTAATATTAAAAGCTTCATCTTTAATTCTCAGGGAATTTTGTTTTTCCAGAAAGACTATTCCCAGAGGTTTCAGATAACAAAAGTTGTATGCTTTTTAAAGAATTGCTTAATTAGTCAGCTTGTAATGCTATTATTGTAGCTCTGTTTGACCCAGATACCTTACCTACACCCACTGTTATTTGATTCTCATCTGCAACGTGTGAGGGCATCTTATTTTCTCTTTGTTTTGGCATTTCCTTACCTTGGCAATCTAAATTCCCTCTTTAAGAAAAGTATTTCTTACCCAAGGATATTCTTTTATTGATTTTAGAGGGAGAGGAAGGGAGAATGAGAGAGAGAGACTTTGATTGGTTACCTCCCATCTGCACCCCACCAGGGGTCGAACCCACAACCCGGGTATGTACCCAGACAGAGAATCGAACCCACAGCCTTTTGGTATACAGGATGACACTCCAACCAACTGACACACAAGCCAGGGCCTAAATTCCCTTTTTTAGATAGCCTTGAATTACAGTGCTGTCAGGAATTCTTATCAAAGTCTATGTAAGTTATCTCTGTTGCCTCCCTGTGGTCCCTTGGCTTATTTTCTCTTCAAAGTGGTGTGTAGAGCCCCTCTCG